AAATCTGTTTAAGACTAGCATTCCTTTCATCAAGTATGTTCTCTCTCAGCTTAATTTCCGACACTTTATTATCATAGGACGAAAACAGATTATCGATATAAAAAACAATTGAATTATATGAGAAATTATAATTTTCAGGGGACGATCACCCTGTCAGTCCCCTTGACCCATCTCTGGCTGACTTTTCTTGCAGCAAATTCTGGAAAACTGCTGATTTGCTCGAGTCGGAAAAGCTAGCGAAGGGATACGAGATTGCGTGATGGAGATCGTTAAGAGTAGAGAAAACAGAGTTGTAAATGGAGAAGTCGAAGGCTTCGGAAATGATTTCTTCGGGTTGCTATTGAATGCCTATCATGGTTTGGATGACAGAAACAGGCTTTCATTAGAAGATTTGGTAGATGAGTGCAAAACATTCTACTTTGCTGGACAGGAAACTGTTAATTCCTTGCTTGGATGGACAGTCTTCCTTTTAGCAATCTATGGAGATTGGCAAGAAAAAGCAAGAAGAGAGGTTATTGACATATTTGGCGACCAAAATCCCCGTTCTGAAGGCATCGTCAAACTCAAAACTGTAAGCATCGAGTTGAATCGAGTTAAAAAAATTATTTTGTATGCTAATGTTATCTTTTAATTTTACAAACAGATGACGATAATCATTAACGAAACTCTAAGATTGTATGGTCAACCAAATGGCATGATGAGAAGAATTGAAAAACAAGTTCAGTGGGGAAGCTAGTCTTGCCTGCTGATATAGACCTTCAGATTGTAAGTATTACATCTCACCATGATCCTCAACTATGGGGAGACGACGTTCATCTTTTTAAACCGGAGAGATTTGCTGAAGGGATCGCTGAAGCTACGAAATACAATGCGACCGCGTTTTTCCCTTTTGGATTGGGACCTCGATCTTGTGTCGGTATGGCATTCGCAATGACGGAGACGAAGATTGCTATCTCCATGATTCTACAACGTTACACCATTACCCTCTCCCCTGCCTATGTCCACTCACCCGTTGCTTCTCTCACCCTTCAGCCACAACATGGAATTCAAGTAATACTTCACTCACTGCATAATGATGGTTTAAAGTATGCAAATCCTAAGAACCCGAGTGATATCCACCAAATTAAATAGTCTATTGCTTGCATTTGCAACATATTATGTCATTCTTGTGTATGTGATTTCATGTATTGGCTAAAATTTGACAAATGTTATTGTAAAATATTTTTATCTCTAAAAAAGAGCAATAGTAATTTTATCTCTAAATTTCAACAATGTACTTGTATTTTTTTTTTTAAATCTAGAATACTTAATGAAATCAAATTTCTCTTCAAATCTAGTACGTGATTCACATTACAAGTAATGGCTAAAGAAACCTATAATCATAGTCCAATCAAATCACTTATATATTAAAATGCCCGCTTGTTCCTTGTTCCGATCAATGTGGATTCTTTGTATTTCACTTAAAAGGAAAAATTTAATAATTTATATAACTAGATTGTGCAATAAACTAAACCATGAGCTTATGCTGATATGCTAACACTCCTCAACACAAACTTCTATTTTGTTTGTAGCGAAGCTGACGACAAAAGCTTTCGAACTTGTTGCCGTCCAAGTCTTTTATGAATAGATTTGTCATTTGGTCTTTTGTCTTAACATGTTCCAGCTTAATTTCTAATAGAACGGTAATTCACCTCCACATGTTTAGTTCTAGTATGAACAACTGGAATCTTGGCCAAATGTATTAAAACAAGTTGTATTTCTCTCCTTCTCTTTCAGTCTTCTAGGCGACATCCAACCATAGATTTAAGTACGCTTACGTATCTAACATTTAATTTATTATTATTGATAGTTTGACGTGACAAATTTTATGTTAATCTAATTTATATCAGTTTGATTACTGTTCTACCGCAAACTCATACCATGTTATAAAGATGGTATAATTTCTTTTGGATGCCAAAAAATTTATTATTAATATTCCTCTTTGCACATAGTTCCCAAACATAAAGATACCAAACACTCTATTTGTCGTTTATAATCCGCAATTGGAAAAAGATATTACATAGTTATCGTTAATTGTCATTGTGGAATAATACCGTCTGAATAAATTATGATAATTATTATAAATGATTAAAAAAACCCAGTAATCTTACATTAAATCACCATATTTGCTGAGGAAATCACAATACAAATGCTAAATGATCTGGATTCAGTGTTGAGAGAAGAAAAATGAGTGCGTTATTGATGGAGCTTGTAATTCTTGTCCCTTGTTCTTTCTTCTTCATTGCTTTACTGAAGTTCCTTCATGATTACTTGTGGAGGCCTCTCCGTATACAGCACATACTGAATTCACAGGGAATCAAAGGTCCTCCTTACAAATTCATCCATGGAAACGACAAAGAAGTTACCAAAATGAGGATGGAAGCAATGAGCAAACCTATGGGGTTGAGCCATGATATATTTCCCAAAGTGCAGCCACAAATGTACTCTTGGATCAACCAATATGGTAAGTTTGATGCAAGTTTTTCACTGTAATTTCTACTTTTTACTGAGAAAAGATTGACCCTTTTGTTTGTTTACATGATTAGGGAAGAATTATCTTTCTTGGAAAGGTATTCAAGCTGAACTGGTGATTTCAGAACCCGAACTAGTCAAAGAGGTTATGCGAAATAGCGAAAAAGCTTTCCCGAAAGTGAAGCCACCGATTTTCGTTCACAGGCTGGGGAAGGTCTTGTGTTTATGGAAGGGGAAAATGGGTGAAGCAGAGGAAGTTGTCGAATTACACGTTTCATGGAGAAAGCTTAAAGGTAAAGCCTCAAAGTATATGATGTAGGCTAAATCTTATGTTGTTGCTTACATGTTGGAGGATTGTTTGTGCAGAACATGACTCCAGCAGTCATTGCTAGCGTTGAAACAATGCTAGAAAAGTGGAAAGGCCAAGTAGGAAAAGAGATTGAAGTGTTCCAAGAATTTAGATTATTGACTTCCGAAGTGATATCGAGAACAGCTTTCGGTAGCAGTTACTTGGAAGGGGAGAAGATTTTCGCCATGTTGAACGAGTTGTCGATGATCGCCGGTCGAAATATTTCAAGACTAGCATTCCTTTCGTCAAGTATGTTCCCAATTAAGTTTTACCTATACTCAGGCCTTTTCTCCTGTATATGTAACTGATCTTAGTTTGCTTTTACAGCAAGTTTTGGAAATCTGCTGATTGGTTGGAGTCTGAAAAACTTGCAAAACAAATACAAGATTGTGTGATGAAGATTGTTAAGAACAGAGAAGACAAAGTGGTGAATGGAGAAGCCGACAGCTTTGGCAACAATTTTCTCGGATTACTCATAAATGCGTACCATGATTCGGACGAGGGAAACAACCTTTCGATGGAAGACTTGGTAGATGAGTGCAAAACATTCTACTTTGCTGGACAAGAAACTGTTAACTCTTTGCTCGCTTGGACAGTCTTGCTTTTAGCAATACATAAAGATTGGCAAGAAAAAGAAAGAAGAGAGGTTATTGACATATTTGGCAACCAAAATCCGCATCCCGAAGGCATCACCAAACTTAAAATAGTAAGAAAACGATTCGAATATACCACTTAAAATTAGTGTATGCTACCATGTCTCACTTGTTTATGTTCTGCAAACAGATGACCATGATCATTAACGAAACTCTAAGATTGTATGGTCTACCGAATGGCTTAGTACGACGAGTTGGAAGAGAAGTTCGGTTAGGAAAGCTAGTCTTGCCTACTAATATAAATGTTCTGTTTCCAAATATTGCACTTCACCATGACCCTCATTTGTGGGGAGATGATGTTCATCTGTTTAAACCGGAGAGATTTGCAGAAGGGATTGCCAAAGCTACTAATTACAATGCTGTTGCCTTCAGTCCGTTTGGATTGGGACCTCGGTCTTGTGTGGGATGACCTTCGCAACCATGGAAACAAAGATTGCTCTCTCGATGATTCTACAACGCTACACCGTAACCCTTTCCTCTGCATATGTCCATTCACCAATGCCTATGATCACCCTTCTACCGCAACACGGAATTCAAATAATACTCAAGTCGCTGCATAACGATGATTAAAGTACCGGGCAGCTAATGACTTGAGGTTTAGGAATGTATGTCTCTTGTATTGTTGATAAAACATGAAATAAATAAAAGAATTAATCGGTTCCGGTTGCAATTTCCGATAGGCGACTTTCAGGTGCCATTTTTGGGATAGTTGGGATTTCTACGACTTTTTTCTCCTCTATCCTTTTTCCCAGTGATTGCAACAACGGAAACATACATACATAAACACACATACATTTATGGCAACTTACGTAATATGAAAAGAAAACTCGTTATCACTCTAGATAAAAACATTCTACATGTAATATGAAAAGTAAAACATTTGACAAATTTCGTTTACTTTAATAGAAAAAGTTAAGACACGTGAAGGATAATATTCAATATGTTAGGCTTAATAGCCAGTGATGTTTTCGGGTTTATAATCGAGCATCGATACTCCTCATGAAATCATAATCCAAATACTAATCTGAATCCATTGTTAAGAGAAAGAGTGCCTTGATGGAGCTTGTAATTCTTGTCCCGTGTTCGTTCTTCCTCGTAGCTTTAATCAAGTTCCTTTATGATTATCTGTGGATACCTCTCCGCATACAGCATATGCTGAATTCACTGGGAATCAAAGGACCTCCTTACAGATTCATCCATGGAAACAAAAAAGAAGTCGCCGAAATGAGACGAGAAGCATTAAGCAAACCTCTGAGATTGACTCATGATCTATTTCCCAAAGTGCAGCCTCATATGTACTCCTGGATCCCGTGTCCTGTCAGCAGTGCATGTTTTCACTATAATTTCTAACTTGTTGCTCAAGTAAAGGCGGACCCTTCTGTTTTTTATGTGATTAGGGAAGAACTATCTTTGTTGGGACGGTGTTTGACCTGAACTTGTATTTCAGATCCCGAATTAATGAGATAAGTTATTAAAAATACTGAAAAATGGGAAAAGGAAGCCTACTTTTTTCCAAAGCAAGCTCTTTGGGAATGGGTTTGTGTTCATACAAGAAACTGTTTGTGCAGAACATGACTCCTGCAGTCATTGCTAGCTTTGAAACAATGCTAGGAAAGTGGAAAGGCCAAGAAGGAAAAGAGATCGAAGTGTCTCGAGAATTCAAGTTATTGACTTCGGAAGTGATATCGAGAACAGCTTTTGGTAGCAGTCACTTGGAAGGGGAGAAAATTTTCGCCTTGTTGGACAAGTTGTCAATAATTATGATCCGAAATATTTTCAAGACCAGAATTCCTTTCATCAAGTATGTTCCCTCTAATTTAATTCATCCCGGAGTTTTTTGCGTACAAAAAATCTAGTATGTTGATCTCGTTTTTGACGTATACATAGCTAACCTTGGTTTGCTTTTGCAGCAAGTTATGGAAACCTGCAGATTTGCTAGAGTCAGAAGCACTTGGAAAAGAAATACAAGATTGTGTGTTGAAGATTGTTAAGAAAGAGAAGACAGTTGTTAATGGAGACTCCGATAGCTTCAGCAATGATTTTCTAGGACTACTCGTAAATGCCTATAATGATTCGGACGAGAAAAACAGTATTTCATTGCAAGAGTTGGTTGCTGAGTGCAAAACATTCTACCTTGGTGGACAAGATACTGTTACAGTCTTTCTTTTAGCAATCCATGGAGATTGGCAGGAGAAAGCTAGAAGAGAGGTGATCGACCTATTAGGTAACCGGAATCCACATACTGGAAGGCATCACCAAGCTCAAAACTGTAAGCAAACTTTCTAACCATTTCGAATTCGAAGAATGAAAGCAACACGGTGTTACAGTCGTTATTTTCCGGTTTCAACACAATATTACAGTCGTTATTGAATAACATCCATCACGTCTGCAATAGAATAAATCTTTGGTGCATGCAGCCATGAGTACATGAAATTATGTGATGTATCCTACTATATTCCTATTTTGCCACCAGATGACCATGATCATTAATGAAACTCTAAGATTGTACGGTCCAGCAAATGGCATCCTGAGAAAAGTTGGAACAGAAGTTCAGTTGGGAAAGCTAGTCTTCCCGGCTAATATCGATCTTCTGCCTCTAAATATCGCAGTTCACCATGACCCTCAACTATGGGGAGACGACATGCATCTCTTTAAACCAGAGAGATTTGCAGAAGGCATTGTGAAGGCTACCAAACACAACACCGGTGCATTTTCCCCCTTCGGATTGGGACCGATCTTGTGTCGGTATGGCCTTCGCAACCACGGAAACGAAGATTGCTCTCTCCATGATTCTACAACAGTACGCCTTCACCCTCTCCCCTGCCTTTGTCCACTCACCGATGTCCGTTATCGCGCTCCAACCACAACATGGAATTCAAATAATAATCGAATTGAGCTTCATTAACGAGGCTTGAAGTACACGGCAGATAAGAACTAGCTTGAATTCTCAACATATTGCAGGGTTCGGATAATGTCAGGATCATCGAATTTTCAAGGCGGTATAATAAATGTGCTGACACTTTTAGCAAAGAAAGAAGTAGATAGATATAGTTTACTTGTGGAACGTTGTTGTTGTTGGTGTACTATGCTTATCGTTAATTTGAATAAAATTCCATCGAATTACCAAAAGTAAATAACAACCGAGTTTGTCAGTATTGTCGGCTAGACCTGATAAATTTAATCTGAATTCGATTATCTAAATTAAATTATTTAATCTGAGAATTAAAATAGATCCGAACACGAAGGTTCTTATTATTTAAACACGTTTCTATAGTGGTAGTAATAATAATAATATTGTTCCTAATTTCTTAAAATTTCAGAAATTTAGGTGTTAATGGTTAAAGATTATACCTCTAGCCTCGGTGACCTCAAGGCGGCAAAGTGAGGCTGATGACGAGCGGCGCGTATGATGTCAAGAGAGAAATAGATCAAATATTTAGGGTTTCAGAAAAAAAATATAATGACAAAATTAACTCTTAACGATTGCCCAGATGATTATTTGATTTTTTTTGGGGGAAAATTTAGGCTTATTAATTTTATTTTTAATTAAAATAACTTTTGTTAGTCAACACATATTATTGACTTATCATTTTCATATATGTTTATTGTTGATGTAGCATGTACTATTATCACCAGAGTAATGATATGATATGTGTCACATCATTTAAAATAATAATGTAATATATGTCACGTCATCATTGAATCATATGTGAAAATGTTATATCAATAACATGTGTTAATCGTTAGTTAGTTAATAATTTTCATTCAATAAGTGTTATTTTAACTAAAATTTGAAACACTCCGAATTAAAATATTTTAAAAAAGAATAAGAACTAAAATAATTATTTGTATAAGCGTTAGGGTAAAATACGTGATTGATCACTTTCGTTTAAGTTTTGTATACTTTTCCTTATTGAATTTTAAAAACATAATATTTGGTCACTTTCGTTTTTATTGATTAAAATGATAAAATTGTTACTTTTGAATCTTTAGTAGGAAAAAAAAAACTTAGCCAAACATTAGTTATCATTTGTATAGTTTACCATTTTTAATTTTATATATTCATTGTGTCACATTAACAATCCGTTAAAGGACTAACAACTTAATCTTCAGTAATCAAATTTTATTTAAATAAAAACGAAAATGACCGAAGATTATGTTTATTGAATTCAATGAAAAAATGTACAAAATTTAAATGAAACTCATTATTTTTCTCAAATTTTGCTGGTTTATTTATATTTTAAGATCTTTTTAGTTTTAAAATGAAATTTTAACTTTTAAACTTTTGGGTTTAATTACTCTTTAAGACTTTTCAATTTTATAATTAGTAAAATTAAATCATAATTTTCTTTAAATTTTACGGATTTTTCAACTTTAAAGAAATTATTTATTTTAAAATTAAACAATTTGTTTTTTTTTCATAGTTGAATCATTACTCTATCCCAATAAAGAGGAAGTATTTTATTCGTTAGGTGAGGATGTGTTGCAAGCCTTGTTTCTAGTCAAACTTGGGTGCTTTTATTAATAAATTGTTTGATTTAGCAAAAAGAAAGAAAATATTACAATAATCAGTCCATAAGTCAATCAAATCAAGCATCTCATAATCACTCTACACGTACCCACACCTGTAAGGTCACCGAGTAAAACTTCGTTGCACACGTTTGGGTCTGGCTAGATGGTAATATGTCCGACTTGTAATATAGTAAAGGAGCATTTGAATTCATTGTCGAGAGAGAAAAATGAGTCCCATGATAGAGCTTGTAACTGCTATCTCGTGTTGTTTCTTCCTCGTAGCTTTGATAAAGTTCCTTTATGATTACTTGTGGATACCTCTCCGTATACAGTACAAGCTGAATTCACAGGGAATCAAAGGACCTCCCTACAGATTCATCCATGGAAACAACAAAGAAGTTGCCAAAATGAGACAATCAGCAATGAGCAAACCTCTGGATTTGACTCATAATATATTTCCCAAACTGCAGCCACATCTATACTCCTGGATGAACAAATATGGTAAGATCTATGCATGTTTTTTCCGATCTAATTTGTTCTATTCATAACGTCAAAATTTGAACTCCTAACCCTATTTAAGAAATCTAATACCTTATCCCGTAACTTGGTTCTAAGAAAAGATGGATACCCTTTTGTTTTTTTGTGTGTGTGTGATTAGGGAAGAATTATCTTGCTTGGGACGGTGTCCGAGCTGAACTTGTGATTTCAGATCCAGAACTAATCAAAGAAGTTCTTAAAAACAGTGAAAAGAACTTTCCGAAAAGGAAGCCTAATGCTTATCTAAGGAAGCTGATAGGGAACGGTCTTGTGTTTATCGAGGGCGAAAAGTGGGAGAAACAACGAAGGTTAGCGAATCATGGTTTTCATGGGGAGAGCTTGAAGGTGAGCCCTTTATTGACTAAATCTCTATTGCTATTCTAGTGGACTCTTAGGAATACAATACAGACGTTCATGGGTGGGGTTGAATTTTTAGTCCACTTGAAAAGATGGTTTCATTCTATCCCAAATCTGACTCGACTTTTATTAGATAAAATAAGGATCTAATCGAAAAGAATGAAAATGATATTATTACAATCATTTCTAAATAATAGGAGGGATAATTATATTATTGTGTTGGGTTGAACGGATCAGATTTTTTTACGTTAGACCTAAACCTGATCCCACCCTTGAAAATATCAACCCGAAGTTAAATTTTTAGAATAAAAAACCGATCTAATTGAGTCGGTTCGGGTCAAAACCATAAGGTCAGGGTGAAATGGCCATTCCTACTCAAGAATCATACTATTTCTGGAATTCTGGCTAAACCTTTTACAACTTGGACGACCATGTGGGCAGAACATGACTCCGTCAGTAATTGCCAGCGTTGAAACAATGCTAGAAAAGTGGAAAGGCCAAGAAGGAAAAGAGATCGAAGTGTTTCAAGAATTCAAATTATTGACTTCAGAAGTGATATCTAGAACAGCTTTTGGTAGCAGTTACTTGGAAGGGGAGAAGATTTTCGCCATGTTGGAAGAGTTGTCGATAATCATGACTCGAAATATTTTCAAGACCAGAATCCCTTTAATCAAGTATGTTCCCTCTAAGCTGACTTTTCCCTTGATTTAAACTAGTTTCTGAATGCTAATTTTGGGTGACATTGGTTTGCTTGTGTAGCAAGTTATGGAAACCTGCTGATTTGATAGAATCGGAAAAACTAGCAGAAGAAATACAAGATATTGTGATGAAGGTTGTTAGGAAAAGAGAAGACGGAGTTGTGAATGGAGAAGCTGATGGATTCGGATACGATTTTCTGGGATTACTTGTAAATGCCTACCGTGATTCGGACGAGGAAAACAGGATTTCAATGGAAGATTTGGTTGATGAGTGCAAAACGTTCTACTTGGCTGGACAAGATACTGTTAATTCCTTACTTGCGTGGACAGTTTTTCTTTTAGCAATCCATGGATATTGGCAGGAGAAAGCTAGAAGAGAGGTGATCGACGTATTCGGAAACCGGAATCCGCATACCAAAGGCATCGCCAAGCTCAAAATTGTAAGCAAACTGTCCAATCATTTGATGTACTTTAAATTATCTGATGTAATCTGATATGTTCCTGTTCTGCCCACAGATGAGCATGATCATTAATGAAACTCTAAGATTGTATGGTCCAGCAACTGGCCTGATGAGAAAAGTTGGAAGAGAAGTTCAGTTGGGAAAGCTAGTATTGCCTGCCGATATAGATCTTCTGGCTCTAAATATTGCGGTTCACCGTGACCCTCAACTATGGGGAGACGATGTTCATCTTTTTAAACCAGAGAGATTTGCAGAAGGGATTGCGAAAGCTACTGAAAACAATGGGGCTGCATTTTTGCCTTTCGGATTCGGACCCCGATCTTGTGTCGGGATGACATTCGCAACCACGGAAACGAAGATTGCTCTCTCCATGATTCTACAACGCTATGCCTTCACCCTCTCCCCTGCCTATGTCCACTCACCGGTATCGGTTATCGCCGTTCAACCCCGACACGGGATTCAAATAATACTCGAGTCAGTTCATAACGATGCTTAATGTACATAGCTGCTATGAATCCAGGACTTAACCCAGTTGGTTCATGCATTCATCTTCAAGAGATGACATAGAACCATTATTCTATAAAATTTATCTGCCAACCAGTAATTAATTACATTATATCGTCAACATAAACTCATATCTGTCTGGAACCTGCAGGGTTACAAAGTCATCAAAATCTTGCCTAACAAATAAAAGATTTTGCAGACAGCTTACTATTGCGATCGATGGAACATTTAATCGAAACCTTCGAATCAGCTGGTCTGAAATTGAACCCACAAACCAGATTATCTAGCTCATCTCCTTTATCAACATTCAAAGGTCCCATTTGGTCTTTTAAATGCTTCTAACCCTCCTGAAGAAGATCTTTACGTCTACGAACATAAAGCGTCTTTAAATGCGATACATTAATTCGGTACTAGGAAAAAAGGATTTCATATCTTCAAGAAATCAACATTTTGAATTAAAATAAGGACATGGTCCCAGAGCAATGTTATAGATTTGATCATGCAGAGAGTAATAGAGTACCTTAGAGGATAGAGGGGGCAAATATGCCTGTCGCAGAGCCTTCCCCGGTTCCGTTAATTGACGTATCTCGCGAAGCTGACTCACAATATCTTCCAATATTTGTAACTCCACTTGTTCATTTTCCCTGTGCCCTGCAGGGAAGTTAAGCTTCTCTTTTCCTAGCTGTACTATCTTCAGCCTTTCTCTGAGCCACCCGACTTCGTTGTCGATTTTTGACCTTTCGTAATCGAATGCCGACCTGGATTTTCTATGCATAGATTTGGGTTGTGAAGGACCAAGTGGTGGTAACCCTTCAGATCTGTCTAAACTGTTTCTTTTCATGCAAGGCTCGATATAGGTTTGATTATTGCTTGTTTTAGACTCATTTGAGGTAACACCTATAGCCTTCTTCTCGATTCTCTTCTCACCTTGTTTACTATTCACGTTCGATGCCCCACTAATGACATGAACATCGATAACACGACAATCGAAACCAGAATCTGAGCCATGTAAATCTTCTCCACTCTTCTCCATGTTTCATTGTTGCAAGGGAAAATTATATTTGGCTCAGTGGTCTTCGGTGTCAACTGTTTGTCTGGATCGGCATCACCGCATCGCTTCTCTTCTACTCCCGTACCATTAATCGTTTTCTCATCAACATGTCTTTCTTGATGATTAAGATTCTCATCATCACTTCGAAATATATTTGCTTCATTTTTTTCAATACTAGAACTTAAAAAGCCAGCAGCTCCGTCTAACTCGGCAATCTGTAGATTGAACTGCTGAACCGGCAGTGGACCCTGCTCCTCGCTTGAGGTCCCTCGTTCGTGCATGACCGTGATGTCGTATGTATCAGCCTCGGCCTCCAATTGCTCTTTCCTGTAAAACATTTGCATGCAAGCTTCAACTTCCTTCTCCAAGAAATACTTTTCCCTTTCTCTTCTTATCATTATCTCTTTAAGAATGTTCATTTCTTCAGCATCGTATGCAGATTTTGCCTCGATCGTCCTCCGGTATTGCTTAGCTTCCATCTCGATCGCTGCCTTCTCTTCTTGAAGGCGTAGTATCATTGCCATAGCCTCATCTGCAGCAGAGGCAGCAGCACTTCTTTCTTTCTCGAGCTCAATGTACAGAGCAGCACAGGTAGCATGCTCCTCATCTAGAGCTTGTCCTAAGACTCTGAGTGTGTTTTTGTCACTGCCATTGAAATCCTGATTCGATGCCGATCGCTTGATCGCCATCGCTAATTCGTTTCCATCCATCGATTTATCTCAGCAAAAGAGTCGTAATCCATTTGTAAAGCCTCAAAACCTTGCTTAGACAATTCTATCTCTTTTGCAGTTCCCCTGCCATCTAAAATCACAGAATTATTAACACATTAGATGTGGCATGAGCATAATAAAATGAAATTTCAACGTAATAAAAAGATAGATGAACTACATCAAATATCACAGAACTTTAGATTGTTTATCGTTTATATCACTTAACTTTTAATTTCTAAAATTATGATACCGAATTTTGATTTTAACAATAATTATGTCATTCGGTCATTAAATTTTAACGGTGCAATGCCGTTGAAAAATCTTGTTGTCATTGTGATAATGTTGATAAAACGACATCATTTTGGCGGCGATTATTGATGCTTAAAATGATGTCATTTTAGGCATAAAATTTAGAGGTGTATCGATTTTATCACTAAACTTTTGAATAACTTTATTTTGGCATTGCACTTTTTTGGCTGTAAAACACCAATCATCTTTTATGACAAGATCGATACCAAAATGTCCACATTTCACTCATTTTTCTTTTTATATGATTACTTTCCACGAAACACTCAAAATCAATTTTGAATATGAATTTTCGTCGATTTGAGTGTGTTTTGTGAAAAACTAATCATATGAGAAGAAAGGTGAGTGAAATGCCAACAGTTTAATATTGATATTGCCGTAAAAAAACAACAGTGACGAGCAATGATTGACTATAATTGACAATCGAAACAATACAGTGCTAAAAATAAAATTATTTAAAAGTTTATTGACAAAATCGATATACTCTATGACTTTAGTGCCTAAAATGATTATTTTAGACATCAATTCTTGCACCAAAACAATGTCGTTTTGTCTCCGTCGTCACACCATTTGGATTTTAACAGTCTAGTGACATAATTAAGCTTAAACTAAAATTTAACATCATAATTAACGAAATTAAAAGTTTAAAAATCAACGATACACTTAAAGTTCAATGATACTTAGTAGTATAATTTACCCTAAAAAGATAACCTTTCACCTTCGGAATTAACCGAAGCCATGCTGTCTTCGGTAACATCATTGGCGAGCTTACTGAAAGTAGCAGAAGAATTCAAAGCAGTTGGTGTTGCAGAAGATAAAACATTTCCACTATGACCGGCGCCGGCATTTCTCTTACTCCGCCTATGCCTCCCCCTCCACTTATGAATCGAACCAAAGCTTCCTTTATTCCCATTCTTCCAATAATCATCTTCTTCTTCTTCTTCATAAAAGGGAAGCTTTTTCATGATGGAATATTGAACAGGTGAGATTTTAAGAGATGGGTTATGAACTAGCATGGCTTGGATACATTTTTTCTTTTCCAGGTAACCAAATAGTCCATTAACAGGCAACGACAGACCAAATAAACCCAGAAATTTTGAAGCCAAATAAACCAGGGTTGATCCACAAAGAAATAAATAAGCTATGGATAGATCAAGGAAAGCACCCACAAGACCAGCGAATGTCCATGAATTCATCTCATTGCATGCCATTGAAAAAAAGTTGCAATCTAGGTAACTCACCCCGTGTTGGTTCTGATTAACTCGGTCATCGGAGACTGGGGAAAAAAAACTCGACAAAGTTTGATTCTTTTATGTCAGTTTAAGGTTGGAGGAAGAATAGGAGATAAAGATGGCTTCTTTTGTGGAAATTTCTATTTTTGATTTGACCACTCAACATGTTTGATAATTGAATCAAATAGTATTTACTATTGATTTATATTCGAATTGAATTTTAAAGGTTCGGATCGATTTGATTCAAGGGGAAGCAAGCTTGTATGCTTAAAGCTGATATGAAGAACATGGAAACAACATATCTTCTTCATACTAAAACAAGGCAAAGAACGCTCCTTTAATCACTTCAACTCAGCTTATCAAACATCCTAACACCAGTTATTTAGAACCAAAACCAAATTTGCAGACAACATGAAAACTATAATTACTAGAAATGCAATCTGAGAACATGCATTAACTTTAAAACTCAAGATTTTCAATCACATGACGTTTTTTTCTATGTTTTTTGACACATTTTCAGTCGATCAATTTTCTCTGCTTTTGACACATTTTTCGATCTTTTGACTGTTATTTTCGCCTATCTTTTTCCTCAAATTTAGATTTGATATCGATATGACTAACTAAATTTACGCACGTCACTCAACTCTGATTTTAAGAAAATTAATATTGAATATTATATAAATTTTGATAAATTTATATATTTGTATGATACGATGTTACGTGGTATATAAAATCTCTTTAAAGTTTATGCAATGTTGATTATTTTTAATATGATTAATGTCATAATAATGTATTTTGGTCTTTGAAGTTATATCTAATTAGCCCATTCTCGTGACATAATATATTAAATTCGAAAAACTAGAAGAAAATCTAAAATAAAAAAATCCAAGAAACCCTCAAATTTTTTAACAAAACATATTGTAAGCATACAACAAAACATCTAGTTGAAGAGATTGATTCAAAAGATTGAAAGCCATTCAAAAGGACACTGTCAAAATGGAATTGTTTCATTAGAACTGACTGATCAATACTTGATAGGAGCAATGACTTCCAACTGGGCACCAAGCTTCTCCTCCGCAACCTTCTCAGCTTTAACGCGAAGTTTACCGAGTTGCTTCCTTCTCTCGTCCCACTTGTGCTCTCTCCTTTCTCTTCCTCTCAAGCTCCTGGAAACAAGGCAGCACAAACTCAACAGGTTGTCGTAGTTGTTTCATAGTAAGATGATGAAAAAGTGTTAAAAAATCCCAGAAATTAAGGCTACTTCATCCAAGCACATAAATTCAATGATAGAACATATAAGGGGAAACAAATCTCCAAAAAACGTTCAACAATGCCCTTCTATCACATGTTTGAGCATTGCTGGACATTCATACGAGAGAGAGCCCAAGCAACTTCTTCTCTATGATAACTTTCTTGGAGATACACACAACACAGATTAAAGTGCTCCGGCGATAAGCTTTTAGGCACATCATAAGATGGAATGACCAAATTAAGGATGAACTTTAACCAAGAAGCCAACATTAATATTCAAGGGATTCACGCATATTAGAGATAAGCTTTTACACATGTCAGAAATTTATATAAAATGTTCCGAGATAAAGCATTTTAGCAGGATAACCAATCTTCACCTTGATAGTGTCATAGTGGTTCCATCCACCTCAGATGAGAGTTTTCCAATAAGCAGTACTTGTGTCCTTTCTGAAGCCTCAAAACCCTGATTCCAGGAAAAAGAAGAAGAAGAAAAAAAGACATAACCGTCGAACATCACTAACTAGCCACCAAAGCAAGTAAACCAAATTCTAAATTCCATGAAAAAAAAATCAACTACTGCAAACAAAACTCACTTGAGAGCATCAGGGATAACCATTCTCTTCGTCTTATCATAAGGTGCTGGAATCCCCTCGTAAGCCTTCAAACGAGCAAGAGCTGCAGCCCCGCGCTTAGTCTTGTGAGGAATCATTCTGCAATCAAAGCAAATATCAAATACAACAAAATTCAAAATGAAGCAGAGTTATACACTTCACATATACTAAAGCCAAATACATTGCCTTTGAACCACAAGATTCATAGAGCTCCAGCTAATAGTTTTCTCTAAAATCAGCAATAATAACCTCAACTCAAGCACAGCATATTATTTTGCTTCTATTCTTTGCCATTGTTTCCCCAATAACCAACAATAAATAACACATATTTCTATCCAGTTTTGATTCCAATACCCAAATCATAGAACTTCAAATAAACAGCCAAATGATCAACCATAAATTCCCATTTTCCACTCACAATACAAAAAAAGAACTTGAAAAATACTAAAAAAACACATACCCACGAATGGTACGCCATAGGATCTTAGCAGGAGCACGAAAGTGGATGGGACCATGAGAAGGCTTAGTGTTCATACGCTTCCTCAGAAACCTCATGTACTTCATTTTCTGCCTTACTAATCCACCCGACATGCAAATCTCCTCGCATCTAACCACCACTACTCTTTGACCATTCAACAGCTCCTTGGCTAATATGGAAGCCAATCTTCCCAGCATGTGATGCCTTGCATCCACTACAACTCTTTTGGCACAAATTCCTGACCCTGAACCATCTTTTCTTTTTTTTTCTCTTCTCTACTTGATGGCTTAGGTTTGGCCAGCCGCTGTGCTCCCTTTAGTGGGAAATGAAGAAGATGATTAGCTAAGCTTTGTTAGGTTTTATGGTTACTTTGTTTTTCTTTTCACGTGAGCTTTGGTTTGGTTTGGTTATTATTGGGCTTTTTGGGTCTAAGGTGAAGCCTATAGCAAATTTATAATTAAAAGTCTTAATTCATAATTTGACCTTCTAAATATGCATGCTACTCTCTTTAAAGATTTTATATTCAAATAATTATATCTACATAATATATATTTATTATCGATGATTTAAATTTTTTTTAATATATATTATCTTATAATCATTCAAGATTATTTAAAAAATAATATAAAACTTATTAACTGATCTCAACTATAGAAGAAAACATATTTTTTAACAGTCAAGTTTGAACAATTATGTCTATAGGAAATATATACGCATTATCAATTACTAAGAAAGATTAAACATAGATATATATGTATTTAATTTGATGATGGTATTTTTTTTATTTTATAAATAAATCTAAAAAACAAGAAAAAAAGTTTTTAAGTAATTAAGACATGAAAAAAAGGAAGAAAATCAATAGATCAAGTGATTGAAACTGTTTGTTGACACACCCAATTGGTCAGTGCTCTAGTCCTAACATAATATATAGAGTAAACAATGGGAATCGCTTCTATTAAAATTGCAAAGTCATAAACCAAAGGATGAAATAGGAAAGATCTCTAAAAGCTATCGTCGGCCCGAATCTGAGCACAATCAAGATGTGAACTCGAAAGGCTGAGGGGGCTGAGGTTCATCATCGATGGCCATAGCTGAAGAGGGACTCTGTTGACCAGCTGCTGATCCACCTGAGGGAGATGCTGCGGATGCAGGTGCATCGGTTAGGGAGAGTGTCTCTGGTTCATCAGGGCGTAGGTCTCTCAGAGGACGAACCCGGATTGTTGTGCCAACTTCACAGGCGCATATCGGCTGTCTTCTAGAAACTTAATGACCTTCTCCTGAGCAGGAACCACTCTAGCTGGGTTGGTTAAAATCTCAAACGATGGCTCTGGCTCCGGCTTGGCTTTCTTCTCTGGGGGATTATCGACCTATCCAATAGAAAGAATCAACCAAAACATGAATCAGAAACACAACAACATGCATTATAAAAATGTTGAATCTTACCTGCATAGCTTCCCCATCCTTCTCGCTGGCTGATTTCTCGACATTTGCCTTTTGTTCGGCTTCTTTCTTTGCCCTAGCTTTAAACTTGGCTGAAGTTGACAGGACAGCAGTTGGAAGTTTGACGGCTGACGTAGTGGTGGGCACAGTAGTTGGTTTTGGATACTCGAAAAGCGAAGGCTTTGCATGCGATAAAAACTCGAACATTGGAACTTTCAGATCGTAGTTCAGTCCAATAAAAGCTGTGGGCGAGAATGCCAAGCTACCAAAATAAATGAGGGGATACCAATACCAAAATTGGCTAAAAACAGCAAGACCAACAACCGCAGTGACTTTGTCATGCTTCGTCTTCGAAAGCAATCTTATGGTTACATTTCTTCCACCAGCATCAAGGATCCCAGAGGCCAAGATTGCTCCCATCTTGCTCATTGTGTCTTCATGCTTATCGAGTACAATTTTTTCTAGTTGACGCCTAGATTAAAGGGGATATAAAGCAATACATCTTTAGAATTGCCATACATTAGAAGAAAGGAACTACAAGACCATATGATTATAGCATATACCTGAATGTCCCGACACGGGAATCACTGGCTTCATTGATCTGGATCATGACCATAGCCATTGCAATGAGAGCACCTTGACGAACAAAATCCACAACATCTGATATCAAGGGTTCTAGCAATGATATAGCCTCACTCAATCCAGTGCCAGCACATGAGATACCCACTGCAAGCGCTGCACCATATCGAACATGGGGGTTGTAAGACTCGGACAGTAAGGAGACAATTCGAGGAGTCTGCAGTTTAGATCAGACAAAACAGTGAGATTTTCAGAAATTCATAGCCCAATGACTGACCCAAAGGTGCAGTAGAATTAGAACAATACGAAAAAGATGCAACAAACAAC